AATTGCTATGCACTGAGCAACGATATGTAATCCACAACATGCACAGAAAAAGCAGCACAGTGGGTGCAAAATAGTAAACCTCTTACGTGCAACATGCTTCTTCACTGACCATAGAAAACGTCTCAGGTTACGTATGTATCCCTGGTTCCTTGAGAGGGAACGAGAACTGCGTTAGAACGCAGTGGGAACGCTCTGCGTGATTACGTCGTGAAGCACATGTAAAATCAGTCCAATGGAAGCCCGAAACGTCAAGGCGGGTGACGTCATAGACCAGGAAACTAGAAAGCACCCCTGAAGTCAGACCACACCAGCTTCTGAAAAAACCTGAAGCAAGTCGATCAGGGCAGGCAGGAAGTATGGCAGGCGAACGCAGCTCCCGTTCCCTCTCAGGGAACCAGGGTTACAAAAGTAACCTGAGACGTTCCCTTTCAAGGGAACCTCAAGCTGCATTAGAACGCAGTGGAAACCCCATACCCACTACGCCATGCTGAGAAATGACCATTCTTTGTGAAGTCCTTGCGCACACTAAGAAGCAAGCAACCTAGCCCCTAGAGTGGAGAGGTCAAGGTCATAAAATCTAACAAATGTATGCAGAGAGGACCATCCTGCTGCATTACAAATGTCAAGAAGGGAAACACCCGAAATTAAGGCCATTAGAGGCTGCCATACACCTAGTAGAATGGGTCCGAACAGCCATAGGTGAAGGCTGTCCAGCCACTTTATAAGCCAATGATATAGCCTCAACTCCATTTGCTCATAACCTGTTTAGATGCAGGGCACCCTCTCATGAGTGACCCAAAGTAGACAAAAATAATTGTTCAGACTTACGCCACAGGGCAGCTCTGGGAACGTAGACATAACAGGTTCAGTCGTTCCTGATCTGGAGTATTAAAAGGTGGAGGATAAAATGACTGCAGCACTATAGGGCCCCCAACCAGTGCAGGTCTAAACCTCAGTGTACCACGGAGAGGAACCCCCCCATAGGGGTGCACTCTTAGAAGAAATGGTTCTATTTAGAACCAGGAATTAAGAACCAGGGTTAAGTTTAATTTATACGCAATTTATCAACATCTAATTTCCCTAATAAAGATAAAATAGTGATATGTAAAAGCCGTTTAAGAAAAATAGTGGGTGAATTAAGCTCGCAAGAAATCGGGGGGACGTGGAGGCATAAAGTCTGCTAAAGTCAAGGGAGAAGCCCATGGAGAGTCATAAAGTTGATCCTGCTGCTACAGTAGTTCATGGACAGCTGATACTCACTCTCTCCGTCTCTATGAGATTCGGACGGGAATTATTCAGAATTCACTCGACACAGCTACTAGAAGACATACAGGTTGCTCAGTTCACTGTTCACCGACGCCATTGCTGACCATGCGGGCCTGTGAGACGCGCCTGGGTGAAAGCAAAAGACGCTTAATATAGAGTATAAAAATGAGTATATAAGTTCTTGTGGGACAATATTGTTTTGTTCTATTGTATATTTTGCTATTTCATTCTAAATGATTATAAGTGTGGTCATAGTGAACCGCGTGGTTATTCCTGCTATTATTGGTCACGTGTGCTTTTGTGAGAAAGACAAGTAGGATTGTTCTTGAGGTACATAGTGTAATATCTTTTCTTGAAAAATTATATACTGTATGTATGTTATTTTTAATGTTTTGATCAGTGATGTAAAATTTATTTCTGAAATCATTAAATCAATGTTCTGGTCTGTGATCAGGCCAGTTTTGTTTTGTTTGTTTTTTTCTTTGTTTTTTTCTTGTCCTTGGTTCTGCAGATTGTGGTGATCTGTTATATCCTGTGAGAAATTTCATATGGCGAGCCACCCGAATCTACTACGGTGAAAAGACAACAATTCGTAAAGAAGAGGATAATATCCTTTCCTTTCTGCTAGTGAGACAATTCACATTTAGAGACTATTGAGGTTTTTAATCAAGATTTACAGACGAGTACAGAGACTGATAAAAAACTGATGTGCTTTGAAAAGCATTGAATACTCGTGACGGTGTATGGTTACCTATAGCTAAAACTAATTGAACAAAAACCTCAATATTAATCAAATTTACCAATAGAAACGATTGACATTTGTGATATTTTGTGAGAAGAGTTTTTAAGGAAACTCCATTATTCATTTTATTTTCTTTTGTCAATTGTAATTATCTGTGTATGTTTGACCTGTGTGTATAATTGACTGACATTTTAATTACCCTTTCTGATTATCTTTATTTTAATTTTCACATTCCCAAATGACATACCAGTTCGTATTCAACCTGTGTAGTTTGTTTCTCACCACAATCGTCTGATGAATTATCTGCACCAATAGCAATTTAATTCATTGTTAAATACCGCAAACTCCCGTTACACGTGATTGCTACTGAATGAGTTAAAGACCTATCAGCCTGCACCTATTAGAGTTTCATGCCAGAACTATACAACAGAAGAAAAAAAAAACAGGCTCCATACAGAAAATTAAGTGATTACTCTACTTTTAATAATGGCCATAAATTATAAAATGGTTATCAGGATGGACCATTGAGAATTATTACAAACTTGATCACTGTGAAATCTAATTAACATGAGAAAGGGTGTTACATTTACATCCAAGTGGTAATTAATCTACACAGAACTGAGCCAAACCACAAAGTGTAGCTATAAACTGCCTAAAGTATCTGGATTCCACTTTGGTGACCTGAGAGTACTATAGCCACATCTCATTTGACATAATGGATGTAACGAATGGGACGTTAACTAACAGGTTAAAATGAATGCAGTAGCTTTGGTTTTTTTGGCTTTCTTTCTCTCTTTTAATGAAATATGTGTATTTTTTTTCTTCTCCTGTTTGCATCTGCATGATTTATGATTTTGGGAAACAAAGTTATTCCCAGGGAGGAGAGCACTAACCTCAGGAGTCATTGTTTTATGTAAAAGTCATAACGAAATAAAGTATGAAAATAACAACATTTGGCAAGCTATCTTTTAGAGAGGCTGTTTGTTAGTCTTAATCTGGAATTAATATTTTTGGTTGTAATTCTAGCCATCACTTCTGACAGTTCTAATACCTGCATCCTGACATCATATCTGTGACATTTAAAGTAATATAATGTGATATTCATTAGACATCATTATAATTGTGTGCTTGGGGCATGGATTTAGATTTATTGGCAAATATTTCGGTTGTCGGCTTTCAAATATAAAGAAATGATCGGTTGTAGTATCTGCCAAAAAGGTCAGATCAACTGGGGAAGGTGATATCTGTTATTTATTTATTTTTATTTATTTATTTTTTTTTTTTACTCCATTCACCTGGGGTGTTTGCTTTAAGCCATTATACTTGTATTATAAGTACACCAGGGACAAGCATAGATGATATTAATTTACTGATGCTATTTTCAGTTTTGTCATTTTGTAATATGTGCATAGAACATCACTTATTTTTAACTCAAACGTTTTATATAATAAGACAAGTGAAGTAATTTAAATAATTTCCAACAAACTGCTGTGGTGTGCTAGACCATTTAAAAACATGATTTACATAATGTCAACTAACGAAGATGGGATTAGGAAGAGGCTCATCTTCATCCTCCTTGTGACAGCCAGAATTAGAGGCAGGTGGTGAAGAGATTTATTGATCAAAAGACATCCAGAGACCATCATGAGACAGATCTGACGAAAGAGATCACAACACTGAGAAGAGTCCGATGGCAAATGCCTGCTATTCCCAGCAGTCGCCTGATTCATGACAGCCTTGACTCATTCAACTTCATTTCACAATAATAGACAGTTATTCTTTAGTAGTTATATTAGTTATATTAAATGCCATTAACAGTTATATTAAATACCATTAAACTTTAAACATTTTCTTTTTTATCTATCTTTTATCATTAATTATGGTAGCACTTGTGGAGAATTCAAATTAATAAATGAATATGCCTTCATTGTTTATATCCTAATAATAAATAAATGTTATCTACAAACCAACTCACCAGTCACACAGATGTGTTGTCAGAACACAATCTGTACAATTACAATCTGACAGATACTTTTGGAGGTTCCAGTCACGAACAAGATTACAAATCAAGCCCTCAGATACCGCACTGCACGCTTTACTTAATTCCTCTTCTGATTGGTCAATAACAACATTTAGCAGTCAAATATTTCTAAATTATTACACTTGACCAATCATTCAACCTGTTTATATTCCTGGGCCCCTGTTTTGTCTTTCTACTGTCTAATCAATGAGCTAATATAATAATTTCTATAAAAAATCATAATTTTCCGACTTTTTCTAGTCATTATTTTTATAGTCATCATTTTGATGGCTGCATCCGAAACACGAAAAACAGTGTGACAAAAGTATGTCTGAATTCACAGTATACTCTTGTCTGAAGTGTAGGCAAAAAGTACCTGGATGACCTACTTCTTCCGGTGAGATATAAGCCTGCATATGATGGACACTAGGAGAGGATTGGTCAATGGCAGTGAAGTGACGCAACTGTCACATGATAATAACAGCATGAATGTTGTACGTCTAGATTACAGTCTTAACATAATTCTTTAGCAGGGAATGAAGTACTTTTTAAATAACCTATCAAGCCATTTTTTTTTCAATCTAGGCTCAAGCCAAGTGCTCAAGCCTGATACCTTAATTTTTAAATTAAAGTGGAGCAAAAGGGACAACTATAGGTATATATATATGACCATTTATAATTCAGTTACAAATTAAGAAAACACTGAAAATTCATAAAGTGGAGACAAAAATGGAAACAAAAATGCTTGGAAATAATCATTATAATATTTTACACTGTAGCCAAGGAAAATGTCAAATCAGCATCCAACATAAAACCACTTGCTTTATGCTTAAATTCATGGCCATTTCAATAACATCAGAGCTGAGACTCTCTAAGTGTGTTCAAGGTAGCTCAGTCTCACAATAGAAATACACCAATCATTAAATGGCACTGCGTCATTGCTCAAGGTTTGCGTTCGAACGCCTCCTCATATAAAAGCGTCTGGACGTCTCGCTTTCACAGACCTGAGAGAGTAAGTTCAGAGCAGTGGCCAGTATTTCACTAGCTTTACGCATATAGCTCCTCAAATGAACAAATGTGAAACACTTTGCAGGGAAAGCGCAATTCATTTGGCATTCGTTTGTATTATGTGTTGATATTTAACGACTACCATGGAGGTTAATTCTACGCTACCAGGGCGCAACTTCATAGACTTGCGCATCTTAACGCAGAAACTTCTCTCTTCGGCGAACCGGTCTCAGCCATTTCTGGACAATGAAACAGAGCACGTCTCCGAAGAGGATTTGGACGTGAATACAGACATTTATTCTAAAGTTTTCGTCACTGTGATTTATGTGCTATTGTTTGTAATCGGGTGTTTGGGGAACTCGATCACCCTGTACACACTCCTTACGAAAAAATCTCTCCAAAACCTCCAGAGCACGGTGCACTACCACCTGGCGAGTCTGGCCATATCCGACCTGCTCATCTTGATCCTCTGCATGCCCATCGAGTTATACAACTTCATCTGGGTTCATCACCCGTGGGTTTTTGGGGAGGCTGTTTGTAAAGGGTACTACTTTCTGCGGGACGGCTGCTCATATGCGACGGCGTTCAATATCGCCAGCCTGAGCGTGGAGCGCTTCATGGCCATCTGTCACCCGTTCAAGGCGAAGAGCATCATGTCGCGGAGCCGCACCAAGAAACTCATCAGCGCCATGTGGATCGCGTCTTTCCTCCTGGCTACCCCGATGCTTTTCACCATGGGACAGCGAATGATGAATGATGAATTTATATGCACCACAGTTGTGTCCTCAATAACGGCTAAAACCGTTCTACAGGTGAGCGCGCACAGCTCTTTCCTTGCTCGCAACGAGTGGTATATTTTATTATAGGCTAGCTATATTTCTGTATTCGTTTGGTTATAATTTGTATTGCGTTGGATTTATTTTTCAAGTGTCTTATCAAAAGGAACAACCTGTTGCGTAGCGTCGCTAATATTTTGTTAAGTAAAATTGGAAACATCCAACACGAATTACAACATTGTAGCCTAAAAAGTGTGGGCTTAGTTTTTCTTTTCTTTTTTTGCTAATAAAAAATACCCAGCACTTTTGATAAACGCTACCGTTCCACATGAGAGAAAGACTATACCAGTTTTCCAAAAATAAATAAATAGCCTAAATAAATAAAAAATATTGTTTTATTCTTTATGGAGAGGGTCGCTCCCTCATGGGCAATCTCACGTGACCAGCAGCATCACCGACTAATAGTAATGAAGATAATTAAAGTAAGCTTTTACTTTATACTTTCCGACAGCTAGCCTATCAATGCAATTTACTGCACAAAGAATGGTATCACATATTTCGATGGTCCACTTTAAACGAAAAATGTCCAATGTCCAACACGAATTTCCACTAGAAATATTTAACTTGTTATGGTAGTCATCGTAAAAAGTGTGCATTCCGATTTTTTTAGGGGCATTCCGATTTTTTTCGGGTTTTTTTTTTTTTTTTTTTGGTAAAAATACCCCGAACTTTTGATAAGCAATAGGCTCATGAGATGACTCCATTCATATCAGTTTAAAAAACTAATAACAATACAAATCTTATTTTATTTATGGAGCAGTTGCTCCCTCATGGGTAAGATCACACAAGCAGCATCACAGCTACTAAAAAAAAGGATGATGATAATAATAACAACTTTTACTTTATGTATTGCTTTCTATGGAAGTTTATTTCTGCCACAGAATAAAGGAATAAAAAGGTAATTGCCACTTTTTATCTAACAATTCTGAGAAAAAAAAAGTAACTTGTAATTTAGTTTAAAGTTTATATGACATATTCTGAATTTAGAACCTGCATTTTTGAGTTTAAATCATGTAATTCCGAGAAAGAGATGTAAATATGCAATTGTGAGGAAAAAAAGTCTGAACTGTGAGATAAAAAGTAGCTATTATCATTTTTATTTTTATTTTGTGATGGAAACGAGCTTCCTGACAGGTATAAAAGGTACTTTATTTTACAAAGCATTATACAGCAAAATTTCGAAAGTCCACTTTAGACATTCTCCTAACTTTGGTTAACTTTGTTAATTTCCAACCAAAATGCAACCCCTGCAACCAAAATCATCCCCTGACTGATATCTACTCAAGGACCTTGAATGAAATGTAGTGGAGTAAAAAAGTATGATATTTGCCTTTCAAATGTAGTGAAGTTAAAGTAAAAATGTTCCAGAAAAAAAATAACTCAAGTAAAGTACAGCTACTCAAGTAGCCTAAATGTATGTGAGTACTCAAGTAAATGTACTTTGTTACTGTCCACCTCTGACTACATGTTAACTTATTATACTAACACAAACCCTAACAACTTATAAACCTAACCTGACAGTCTACTAATACTCTAATGAGAGTTGACATGTAGTTACAAAGTTATGTCATTTCTAAAGTGGATCATTGAAATAAACTCTAACCCAAAGAGTTAACAAAGCAAAAAACAAACAAACAAAACAAAAAAAAACACATCTAAACAAAACACAATTTGAATACTAAAGACACAGCACAACAACCAAACAGTTTTTTATACGGTGCTTCAAATCGAATGTGTAAGAGATGAAAATAAAACGTTCAAACAAGCAGTCAAACGTAAAATTTGACTCCAAGTTTGCAAAATATCAGCAAGTCCAATGTTGATTCACTATCACCAGTCCAAACAGAACTAGTGGAAAAAATAAAAATGTCTAAACAAGCCGTCCTGAAGTCCAAAACCCCTGGAAAAATAAATAAAACAGGCAAACATAAAAAACAAATGTACCAATCACATTTTACAATGCGTTCATTTTACCCTTAAACTAATGCAGTGCATTAATTCAGTTGAATTAAACATATTGCTGTGTATTTTATTTCAAACCACAAGAGCAGTGGGTAAATTAATTAATATGTATTATGCCCATTTGATTCTGTTGGAATTGCAAATTAAATGTTGATGTCTTCATTAGTCAAACACATTAAAATGAGGAGCAGCAGGGTCTGTATTGCTTCTGTTGTGAGCACTGATGGTCATGAAAGTCAAAATCATTGATTCTAATGAATTTAACTACTCAGTTTCCTGAAAATACAAGCCTACAAACAATATGACTCTTGAGGGATTTTCTTTATACTAGTTTAAGTACAAGTGCCAGGATTTGCTCCAAAATTAGGATTTACTATCTTACGAAAATTGAATGCACTTGACCGTTCCCTAAAGTAAATCCTAATTGCCTGGAAATGGAGCCATTATGCTTTGATTCTTGGAAAATTGTTCTTGTAGACCTTAACCTTGTGCCTGCCTTATTCTTTTCTATTACACTACTGAATCTGATTTATTTTGGAGTCTTCTGCTTGTAACTCTCATCTTTCTACATTTGAAAAAAACAACAACAACAGAGTTAGACTGAAAATGAGAACACCTGTGGAGTAGCATAAGAGGCAAAATAATGTAAAATTATCCTTAATTTTAAATGGCATATATTACAGCATTCAGTGCTTGAAATGCATGTGGATAACTGGAACTCATAGCACGGCGGAAACAGTCAGTGAGTCACGATCTGAATCAGACTGCATAAAGAGAAAGAGAAAAGGAGAATATGAATACACACCAAAACAGAGGCAAAGCTGCAGAAAAACTGGAGAGAGAGAGAGAGAGAGAGAGAGAGAGAGAGAGAGAGAGAGGGAGAGCGTATGAATACAAGATGAATTGGTGTCTGACAAACTCCATCAGTCGGTGCTGAGTGTGTGTGTATCATCCTGAGATTTTCCAGTCAAAAGAATGATTGCTGCAATAGCAGCTTATTGCTACAGGACAAACGGTTCATCATGTTTAAGTCTTGGCAAATTGGTTACCACGAAAACCCCTAAATGTCCTCTTTCATATACAGAAGGTTTCACAATATATAATACAATCAAGTAGTATACATTGCTATAGCAATACCTGAAATTCCAGTGCTCTGTGGGACACAAAATGATTGCAGAAAGAAAACATAAATGTTCTTTTATTGCTTTTTGCGATGTGATATAACCTTGCCACATCAAATGTAAACTGGCATAAAAATGTGTTACTGCATCTTTCGGTTCAGTAATGGTTTCTGGAATAAGAGCATGGTGCCTTTCTAATGGTTTATCGCCTTCTGTGTGTCATTTTGATCTTTCTATTGGACAGTCTACACCTGAAAATAATCCAGTTCTGCACTTGAAATTATTTGTATACAAATAAAGTGAGACTGACAGCAGCAGGCAGTGCATGATGTTGGCGAGGATAACTGGCTGATAGCAGATATTGGACTGGCGCTTTGTTCTGGCAGGTTTTTAGAGCTCTTCTAGCCATAAAAAGAGGGAGAGATGGAGTTGAAAATGTAATGTTCTGACATTTCACCCCTTCATTCAACAGTACAACACCATTCATGAAGCACAGCTTTCTGGGTTCAGCAAAACACCTGCAAAAAAACACTTCTGAGAGGGAGATTCAATTTGGTAGATAATACTTATCTGTGCTCTGATGAAACACTTTTCACAAACAAATTTATTGTAAATGTAACAGACAAAAAATGTAAAACAACTGATTACCTCACATTTTTAAAGTTTTGTGAACTTATTTGGTTTACAATAAGTAAAATTGTGGTGGTAGCGAAAGCGACACAATGTACTACTATCAGTGAACCTGTAAAATGCATTTTGAGTTAATTCTCAGTGGCATTGAGTGGCAAGTCATGCTGTTACTTTTGACCAACATCCTATCCAAAGTGTGAATTACACAGTCCAAGTACTTTAAAGCAATCAATTCTTTACTCCAGACACCTTCACAGACGTCAGGGCAGCAGATACTGACAGGCAGAGAGATGTTTGGCAGATAAAAGAAACGTCAGCCAAGATTTTGAAGAGAAGAGTGGAGGAGAGATGTAATTGAGGCCAAAAGAAAGAAGAGAAATGATAACTTTCAAACAGTAAATACGATGACAAGTGTTGACAAGTTTAATCTTTTTCTTATACCTTACATCATGGGTGGCACTAGTCCTGAATGTTTTTAAAGGCCTGGAAGTTTGTCTTTTTCAAGCCTTCTCATTTTTGTCACAATTAACATTACCCAGAGCTACAGTGCTGCGCTATAAAAAACAGATATAATGTTGCAAGCCACATTTTTTGACTATAGTATATTTTGGTATGTTAAACCTGCCATGAAAGCTTGTTTAAAATGTGGCTCAGCATTTGGTTTTGCTCAGCACTAAAGAAATTAGAGGAAACTGTATTGACTTTGTAGCAAGAAGAACCAAATATTTTGCAGTGTGCTTGAGAAATGCTACAATTTTTAAACTCTTGTTAAGATATGATGCCATGAACGATGACAAAAAATAGCCGGCACAGTACTGTTCAATCCAATAAGACCAAGATGTCAGAAGACAGTAAACTTGTAGAACATGTTTTCAGTCACTTTAATGTACAGTGACTTGCTGTAACACTTGCTCATTTGTGACATTTAAGAGTGTATTTGAGAAAAGAGAATATTAAGATTATGAGAAGAACATTGTATAAGAGACAAAAGACTACAAATAAGCAAACAGTGTGCTGTTAGTAACCATAGAAACTTCACTTATCCATCCTCAGCTTTAAAACACACAATGGACATGCTGCTATCTGAAGTGAACAATTATGTATTTGCATTGCTCATAACCCTCATAAGTACCACACGTGCAGATTGCAGCACACACCACTGGCCTAAGATTTAGCTAATTACTTCATTAGAGCCTCTAAGGGTCATTAATTGGTTAAATCAAACATTGCACGACTTGAACAAATGTGTACAAGGCACAGAGA